ATTTTGAGGATTAGCATTATGGGTTATTTATTGTTATTGTTTACTACTGTTGTTATTATTGTTTATATTTATTATTATTGTTATTATTATTATATTATTATTATTATTATTATATTATTAAGTGATAATGTTATTTATTATATGTATAATATTTAATTAAATTAAATTTAGCAAGATGAGATCGACGAGACGATTGGAGTGAATGTCCAATTCGACGATTCGGATGACGAGGCAGAAGGGGGCGGGGCGGAGGGCGGGGCCGAGGTGGAAGACGAGGTGAAGGAGGAGGGGTCGGATGACGAGGGGGGCGTGGACGCGGTATATGAGGAGACGCTGAAGGCGGGGCTTGTGGGGCAGGAGGTGGGGTTATTTTTATTTTTTATTATTGTTGTTTATTATTATTTATTATTGTTATTATTTATTGTTATTGTTATTTATTATTTTTGTTATTTATTATTATTATTTATTATTTTTATAGGAAAGTGGGAGCGGCGAGCGTAAGGGCGCTCTGCACGCGCGCGACATCGACGCGCATTGGATACAGCGGTCGCTATCGAAGTTTTATAAAGATCCAATAGTGGCACAGCAAAAAGTCAACGAAATTCTGCAGATTCTAAGGGTTGGTTGTGATTATTTTAATTAATTAATTAATTAATGATAATTAGTATTATTACTTTATTTATTTAATAATAATTATTGTCATTGTTTTGTTTTGTGGCGACCTGAAATTAATTCTGGTATAGTGTTGGGAACCTCAAATCGGAAAACTGAATTTGTATTTTGTATAATTTTTTATTTTTCAGGAAGCGTCAGATGATCGCGATTGTGAGAATCAGTTGGTGTTGTTGTTGGGTTTTGATCAGTTCGAGTTCATTAAGGTGTTGCGACAGCATAGGTGATTATTATTTATTATTGTTGTTATTTATTGTTATTTATTATTGTTGTTATTAATTAATTAATTATTAATTAATTAATTATTGTAATTAATAGGCAAATGATTCTGTACTGCACGCTATTGAAACAAGCACAAGAAGGCAAGGAACGAGAGCAATTGGAGAAGGAGATATTATCACGACCCGAATTGCATCATATACTGGCTGAGTTGCAGGAGACTGAGAGTGCGGACGTGGTGCAGGTGGGGTACTCTTTGGGAATTTTTTAGGGGATTTTGGGATTATTTTAGGTGAATTTGGGAATTTTTCGGGGGATTTTGGGATTTTTTAGGTGAATTTAGAAATATTTTAGGGGGCGGGGTCATTGAGG